GTGTGATTTTCTTTATTCCCCTCCTGCTGGGTCCTGGGTGAGTGTGTGTGTGTGTGTGTTTCCCTCCTGCTGGGTCTTGGCTGAGTATGTGTGTTGATGAATGTTACCCATTATAGAGGACAGGTATTGTTCACAACAAGCCCTTCTTTTGAGGGCCAGTTGATTGCTTTGTTAGGGGTGGGCACTGACTGCTCTAACTGCATCCCTCTGGTTTACATAAGGAACAATTTGTCCTTCAAAATAGTTTGTTCTTCAAAATTTTGAAATTTAAAACATTTAACTAATTAAGTGTCTGGGATGACACTTTTTTTCAATATGATCTTTAGGGCTCATTAGTGATTTTTTTGTGCTGTTTTTAATGAATGTGGAATTCCAGGGGTCACTGCCACTGCCTGGGGCAGTGTGTGTACACGTGCATGCTGTCTATAGCTACTGTAGAGTCTGTTGATGTTAGGGTGACATCAGTGGTTCCATGTTGGTTTCAAGCTCATGGAGTCCATTAGTGTTATCAACCTTCAGTGTGTTTAAGGGATCACGGAAAAAATCATTGTCCTGAATATTTCACAGTACTGTACTGTACTATACTGTGTTTATCAGAATGTTCCATCTTCCTTATGCAAGGACCCAATACTAGGAGAGGTTTTTAAGTTCTGTGCTGCCACTTTCCCTTTGTCTCCTGGGTTTTGAGAGATTTTTGATTAGCTCAGTGGCTGCCATTTCATCACATGATCTTGCTTGTTCTTGTGAAAGAGTGGAACACATTAGTATCTTATTTGTTTTCTGTACATAATTAGACAGTGCTGCCCTCATTCCGATATGCTTTTTGTTCTGCATAACAATTTTTAGTGCTCCATGCTTTGCAGCCTTGTGTATAATTTCAGATTTAATTCTGTGAGTGTATTCAGCCTTGGCACAAACTGTGGCTGTGTTTATTGCTGAGCAAACATCTGTTGAAAACAGTTACATCAGCATTATATACCTGGAAGTGATGCAACAATTTTGTGTACATAAAATGTTGTAATTTCCTCTTTAAATGGATCACCACTCGATATCAGCACCTGAAATTTTGTTTTGAACAATTTCATGCCTTTGATTAAAACTATAAGGTAAAGCACGAAGACCATAATTGTAAACGTGTCTGCAAACTTCTCACCAGCAATCGAAGGTTGCTTTCTTCCCAATCCCAGTTACTAAATCACAATTCTGCCCAAACAGTTTGAACACTGTTGCACCCAAGTCTGTATACATACCTACTTGAAACTTCAATACTGTACTAAGATTGTCACTTTCAGCAGTGAACTTCAAATTGTTTTTTCCATTTGCATGCAAATGTTGTGAAGTGTTAGTTTGTGTCATACTCCTGTCCATGCTTGCAACTCTTAGTGTCATGCTCAAGTTTCTCTAATCAATCTTAACATATCCTGATCATTGAGAGCCTTCATGTTCCTTTTACTGCCTTTAGTATTACTACCTCTAGTACCACACTTTTTCTAGTGGAAATTTGTTAAAGTTGGAGAGGGTATGAACTAGCTTCTTGTTCACAAGCGAGACAAAAATATGCCTAGTGAGGAATGTGAAAATTGTATGCATCCACCACTCATCACCTACCTGTTGTCTACCTTTTTCCTACCTGTTGTTGTTTCCAGGTATCAACATCCTTGTGGCCCAGTCTTTGACCAGGCCTCCTTGTTAGTGGTCTGGTCAACCAGGCTGTTGGATGCAGCTGGTTACAGCCCGATGTATGAATCACAGCCTGGGTGATCAGGTATCCTTTGGAAGTGTTTATCAAGTTCTCTCTCTTGAACACTGCGAGGGGTCGGTTAGTTATGCCTCTTGTGTGTAGAGGGGAGAGTGTTGAAAGGTGTTGGGCCTTGATGTTATAAAATTCTCTCAGCATTCCCATTGCCTTGAGGTTATCTTGAGGTTATCTTGAGATGATTTCGGGGTTTTTTTTTTTTAGTGTCCCCGCGGCCCGGTCCTCGACCAGGCCTCCACCCCCAGGAAGCAGCCCGTGACAGCTGACTAACACCCAGGTACCTATTTTACTGCTAGGTAACAGGGGCATAGGGTGAAAGAAACTCTGCCCACTGTTTCTCGCCGGCGCCTGGGATCGAACCCGGGACCACAGGATCACAAGTCCAGCGTGATGTCCGCTCGGCCGACCGGCTCCCTCTGCTTCTTTGCACCTCTGCTTCTCGACAAGCTATTCTGCACATCCTGCCATGCGTCCTGGTCTCAAGTGATGTTATTTCCATAAACAAATTTGGAACCAGTCCCTCTTAATATTTTCCCAAGTCTAAATTATTATGTATCTTGCCTGTGCTTACTGCAAGGCTTAACATTAAATGAACACACAACAATGCCAGTTTTAATTTATGCCAGTCATGATATTGTATACTGTACTTTTACTTGAGAATTAATATTTATAAGTGGCCAGAATGTGTGTAGGCTTATATTATTTTAAATGAGCATCATCATGGTGAGAGTTCATGATTAAGCAGGGCAGACTTCAATTTGGTGGCTATTAGCTGGAAAATTGAAGATAGGAACAGGATTATTACACTTTTATTACAATTTGTAATATATATGCAAATACTCTACTGTATTATAATAATGACTTTATGGTGAGTGTGTCTTGAACAAGAAAAAAGTGCACAGTACATACGGCTCAAAATATAAAGTAAACCATTTCGAAGCTTATACTGGTATTAGTCTACTGTACTCGGCCTATTACCACGTACAAAACATAACATAACCTACTTAGAAATTGTTGAGAGGGTTTGATATAGGGAGGCCTGGTTGAGGACTGGGCCATGGGGATGCTATGCCCTGAAACCATCCCAAGGTAACCTCTCAAGGTAGGCATTTCTAATATGTACAGTATTTCATGGTACCACTTGGAGGTGTCACATCACAACACATTTGAGTGTGTCCATCACATGGCACCATTTACACAAGTGAAACTGAGTACCCAAATGAGCCCCACACACATTTAAAATAATAATTTTTTTAGTGTGAGTAGTTTACAAATGGAAATCACTAGTGATAGTATTGTGGATGCTGACTCTATACAACATTTCAAATGTCGATATGATAGAGCCCAATCGGATCAGGAACCTGTACACCAGTTGACTGATAGTAGAGAGGTGGGACTAAAGAGCACGAAGCAATTCATTAAGTGAAAAAATGCAGCCAAAATTTATGCCCTGTTTTCTCCACTTTTTTTTTTTTTTTTTTTTGTAAAAGTACTGTAATGATATACAGTACAGTACTTGTTCAGTATCCATGTCTACATGAAAAAAATTGATTTTCGTTGTTTGATTGAAAAAAAAACTCGCAAACAAAAATTGACCTTGTGTACTTATTGCCAGTTTAAAAGTGATCCCAAGGCATGGAATATCTTCATAAAATACAAGTACTGTATCTATAAACACTTTGTGTTGAGCTTGCTTTAAGTGAAAAATAGAACCAAAAGTACCTTTTCAGTTTTCATTTCTATAAAAACATGAACCATAATTTTATCGTATACATTACTTTATGACTAAGAAGCTTGACATATGCTGTATAATACAGTATATTGTTATAAGACTAAAAATACGAGAATAAAGTTAGACAAAATAAACCTTGTAAATCACTGCCAGCATATATAATTTTTGTTTACAATGATCCTGAAGACCACTTGGAAGTTGAGAGGTACAATTTTAGAGAAATATTTTTAATGGTTAAAAAAGTTTAATGGAAAAATTTTCATAATGTACTTTGAAATGTTGGATATTAGGATTTTGTGTTGAAGCAATTCATAAAGGTTTTTATGCTCACCTGATTACCATTGTACCTACAAATACTATACTATATTTATGTGTGTGTCTGGATTACCTGTGGATGATTTTAAGAGTACTCTTTTTCTCAGCTTGGCCTGGGCCCAGTCTTTACTGGCAATTACCCATTTTAAAGCTTTTTTTTTCTATATAGCTTGCAAGCTCACATAGTTATCACAGTCAGGCTGATAATACAGTATACTGTATCTATTATATACATAATTATTTCCATTCCATTTATATTTTTTTGTGCTTCTGTATAATGATCTATGCTTGATTTTATATGCACATTTTGGCCATGTTGATCTTAGATGGTATTACAAAAGTTTATCTGAATAATATATATATATAATTCTCCATGAATGGATTCAGTAATGTTAAAATGGCACTTTCATAGATGATGCTGGCTAGGCAATTGCATACACATATACTCTTGCTTTTAATTCATAATTCAGAATTATTATTAACTTTTTCATCAGACTTGGTTCTCTTAAAATGGAAACCTTATTGAATAGGACATCTCGGTCAAAAGATGCTACAGTATCTGGATACAGCAATACGATTTCATCTTCACGAAACTTGGCATTAGGTACTTAGTTAACTACCCAATAGAAGAAAGTTTTTTCCTTTAATCTGTGTTTAACAAATCATTCTTTTTCCGAAGTTCCTGGTAGAAAGAGTACCAGCCAACATTTTTTTTATCCCAAAATTCCCCTTTCATAAAATGCTTAGGATTCCACGGGAAAAAATATGCCTAACCTAGAGTATAGGGTATTCCTTTCTCAATAAGGCTGGGCTAAATATCTATCAGTAGAACTACCTTGAACATCAAGATATAGTTTATTAATTCTTTGTAGATACTGCTGCTTGACAAGTTTGAAAGTTACTTTACTTTAAATTAAAACTTATCCCTTAAAAACAATAACAAATAATTTTTTTATAGTGCTTTTTGAAATCCCTGAAATAGGAATTGGTTTAATTACTTCTATTGTTAGTAATTGTGGGGTAGGAAACCCGAGGGTTTGCATTTGTCGTCGTATCTTGGTGTAGTTAAACGTTGGCCAATTATCATTTTTGTGTTATTTTTACTGCAGTAAATCTCACATTTTACATCACTTCAGTGAGAAATGAAGAAGAGTACTTACCTGTCACTGATCTCAAGAGTTTTTCCTACTCTTGTAGCTTGGTTTGAGGCCAGTCTTCTCTGGTGACTACATGATCAACCAGGCTATTGCTTCTTGCAGGCTACATGTCCACCACAACTCTACTGATCTGTAGTGAAGACTAAATAAAGATGATGTAAGTTCACTAATTAACACAACCTGTTTGCTCTTGATTCTAGATGGCATTAAAACGTTAGTGGTTGAAAATGATTTTGCCAAATGTTTATGAAATGTCAATATGTTAACAAGATGTTAATGAGAAAATTGTGGTGACCAATGTTACTGTGTGTACCAAGTGTCTTGACACCCTGGTCGCCAGTATACAGACAGTGAGACACATTGCCTTGTTGGCAGTTTCGAGAGTTCTACTCTCTGGTGATTACCTGATCTGTGAAGTTATTCGTCCCATTTGTGGGGAAATTTTGTCAGTACTGTACTGTATAACCATTTATATTATGGTCTATGTTATAGCTTCCTTCATTTCAGTACTATTGGGTTATACTCCTAGAATAACACTGTACTTAACCTGGTTTGCATTCATTTGGACCCATTGTTGTCCAGGAGAACACTGGCACCCCTAAGGTGTTTTATGTTGGTACCAAGCTCCCTCTATATTTAGTTGTTCATTTTCGGGGAACCATTGATTATCAGCTATTAGCAGTCCCTGTGGTGTAGTGGTAAGATACTCGCCTGGCATTTCGCAAACACTTTGGCCTGGGGTTTGTATCCTGGCCGGGGAGGATTTACTGGGCGCCAATCCTTAACTGTAGCCTCTGTTTACCCAACAGTTAAATGGGTTCCTGGTTGTTAAACGATTTGGCCTGGGTCATATTTCGGGAATATTAGGATTGAGGACTTGCCCAAAATGCTGTTTGTGCTAGTGGCTATACAAGAATGTAAGAACCCTTGTACAGTATATATAAATATATATAATTTTTATTTATTTTATTTTATATGATACTACTAGTCATAGTAGCAGGCTGTTGGTACTCTTCGGTGATGCTTTCATATAATTTGGCACTTTTTCTCTCTCCATCCCCCTGCATCCTGACACCAAGTTTGGTGGCTTGTTCTTTGGGAACTACTAATCGTTAAGATCTGATATCATGCACAAGGTAGTGTGATTACTCTCTCTGTGATGTACAAGGTAGCTTGGTCTGTCTGGCATGCTGGTGGCAATTTTCATTGATCTGAAGATGCTATACAGTATTATACTTTTTATTTTACACAGTATTGTACTGCAATTCTACTAGGTTGGTTATTTTAAAACAATGAGGAGGGCAAATACAATTTCACAGGGAACAAGGGAGATTATTAATATCAACAACGAACCTAGATATGATACAGAATTAATTCAACTGGGGAAAATATCTATCAAGCAGTAGGAAGGATATTTTCATATCACAAATGACTTTAAATAAGCACATACGTTAAACTTCTTACATCTTAACAGCTAGAACTTGTGCCACAATAGGATTAACAGGTTACAAATGAAATCACAGGTTAGTACGTAAGCATTTACAGAATACAAGAATATTCCTTCAGTATATTCCCCAGCAATTTCTTCCTATACGTATACAAATTTGCACCCTTCTTGCTACATGCCATCTTCAAACTTTCTCATTTGAGTTCTGATTAGATGAATACAGAGGCTCTGCCTCTAAAAAGAACTACTCATTAGCTCTTTACAAACCACCATAAACCTATACCTTATACCTAGTAACCTGTCTGACAGCAAATTAATGAAACACACAAATGATCCTTGAACTGTGCATGTCAAACCTCTCCTAATCTATTAATGGTAGACATTTTAAGTGAATATGCCTTGATTAGGGCTATAATCAGATCCTAGTTTACTGGTTCCATTACCACTGTACTGTACTGTTACCCCTACCAGTTCTACACTCAGAGAAAATGAATGTTATAAAATGTTCTTCAGAATGTTCTAAACTTAATTCCTATACAGTACAGTACTTTAACTGTTAAGATTCCTACATCCACAGAGGCTTAAAAGACTATTACACTTTACAGTATAATTAAGCATATTAGCAAACTTGCAATCTTGATGATAGTGTAGCTTCCCTTTGTGTGGAATGTTTTCTTCTTGTTCAAGACTGTTCACAGTTTTGAGTACAGTATTTACAATTAAACATATAGAGGAGCAACTCAATTCTTTGACATAGTTAACAAAAATGAGGGGAAAATAACAAATTAAAGAAATATTTATTACATTTTTACTTTCAGAAGTTATAACATTATATGGTAGACACAGGAAAAATTTCAACAGACGAGGAGTTACAATAACGTGGCTGAAATATGTTGATCAAACCACACACTAGAAAGTGAAGGGACGACAACGTTTTGGTCCATCCTGGAACATTCTCAAGTTGATTGCGAGAATGGTCCAGGATGGACTGAAACATCGTCGTCCCTTCACTTTCTAGTGTGTGGTTCGATCAACAAAATTTCAAAAAATTTTCGTGACATGATAATAGTCTGGTGTGTTCAGTCTTAATCAGATTAAGTTTTTGCAAGTCCCCCAACTTACAAACTGGATTCTTTCTGAAAAGGTGTTCATAAGTTGGCAGTTCATAATTCAGAACCAGATTTCCCACATGTGCTATGTTGTAAGTTCCCTGACCCCAAAAAATTAACATGGTCTAAATTTGAGGGAATAATACATATAATAAACCTAGTTTTTTATTTCTCTCTCTACCTTGAATGATGGAGTTTAACTGCTTATCCTGATTGTATTTTTTGATGAGTGAAGAAAGAGGTTTGATTTTCAGATGAGGAAAGAGGTAGTACAGCAGACGGTGATTCATGGGGTGGCAGAGATGGGCTACAGCTTTCTTTGTTTAATTTAAAAGCCATTGATGCTTGAACTAATTCAAACATCCTGGTAATAAATTTCCTTTGATTCACCATTTTCTTTAGTTGAGAATGTTCTGACATGCTACACAAACATTTTATTTTCTAAGCCATCTCGCTTCTCAACTAACTCTGAAGCAATAAATAGCAGTACAGTATCATCATTACCCCTATTTTCCACTTTTCATGGTGTGTGAATACATAAGCACAAGAAATAGACCATATATAAAATATTAACTCTACCCAGGTTGACACATCCTCCTTCAGTTTGTACTCACCTAGTTGTGCTTGCAGGGGTTAAGCTCCGACTCTTTGGTCCCGCCTCTCAACTGTCAATCAACTGGTGTACAGATTCTTGAGTCTACTGGGCTCTATCATATCTACATTTAAAACTGTGTATGGAGTCAGCCTCCTCCACATCACTGCCTAATGCATTCCATCTGTTCTCTTCCAAGTGTGGAAAGTGACACTTGTCCACTTGCATTGAAAAACTTCCCTATACTGCAGTAGTTGACAATTGTATCAAAAGATATATGGGCACTATAGGGGCCAAAACCATGGTATGAAGTTTAATGGGCAAAATTGCTGGTCTGAGCCCATCTAGGCACCAACAGTTCTGCAGAATATTTCTTCAGTGAATAGTCTATACTACAATTGAACAGTCGAACAGTTGTGTTGGAGGCTTTACTACCCATGTTTTATGGTGTTTCACCAGGATAAATATGCAGTATTTATAATACAATAATGGCACCTGGAATTTCGTAAACCGTCATTAAACCTATTTAATATTCATCTTCAGTACAATACAGTCCAGCATTAGAGGGTGTAGACCTGTGTAGGCAGATGGCCATTTGTGTTTGCTTGTAATTACCTAAGTGTAGTTACAGGATGAGAGTTATGCTTGTGGTGTCCTCTCTTCCCAGTACAGTACTCATTATCATATAACACTTTGAGACTACTGACAGTTTTGGCCTCCTCCACCTTCTCGCCTAAATTGTTTCAACCATCTACCACTGTTTGTGAAAGTGAATTTTATCGTATTTCTTCGGCAGCTTTGTTTAGTTAGTTTAAAACTATGACCTTGTTTTTGAAGTTACAGTATACTCGGGAATTCTCCCCTATCGGTTTTCTCGATTCTCGTTACTATTTTGTACGTAGTGATCATATGACCTCTCTTTTTCTTTTGTCTTCTAGTTTTGGCACATATAATGCCTCTAACCTCACCTCATAGCCCTTGTCCTTTAGTTCTGGCAGTCATTTAGTTGCATGTCTTTGTACCTTTTTCAGTTTATTGACGTAATTCTTAAGATATGGGCATACTTCTGTGCTGCTTCTCGTACAACCGCTGCATATTCCAGCTTTGGTCTAACAAAAGTCGTGACCGTTGACCAGACCACACTAGAAGGCGAAGGGACGACGACGTTTCGACTTGAGAATGGTCCAGGATGGACCGAAACGTCGTCGTCCCTTCACCTTCTAGTGTGTGGTCTGGTCAATATACTTTAGCCACGTTATTGTGACTCATCGCCTGCAAAAGTCGTGACCAATTTCTTTAGTATTTCACCATTCATGAATTTAAAAGCAATTCTGAAATTGGAAAGTAGCATACGCTCCTTGCACGATGTTCTATATGTGGTCCTTGAGGGATAGCTTTCTATCTAGAAAACCACCCCTAGATCTTTATCACAATTTTTTAAAAATTTCTCACATAATTTATAGGTTGTGCGATCTGTTCTATTCCACATTCCATAACATGGCATTTATTCACATTAAATACCACTTGCCAAGTGGTGCTCCATCCAACTATTTTCTCCAGGTCTTCTTGAAAGGCATGACAATCATGTAAGTTTCTAATCTTCCCTAGTATCTTGGCATCATCAGCAAACATGTTCATTTAATTCTATGTTCCATCTGGTAGGTCATTTATGTAGACAATGAACATTACCAATGCAATAAATGTCATGTTATGGATTGTGGAATTTTAGAAAATAGACCACATACAACTTATAAATTATGGGGGAAAGGAATTAAAGAACTCTATTAAAGAACGAGATCTAGGGGGTGGCTTTAGATAATAAACTGGCACCAGAGGAACACACGAAGAATATTGTGCATGGAGCGTATGCGACCCCTTAAGCTCGTCATGAGATGATTTCAGGGCTTAGTGTCCCTGCGGGCCAGTCCTCGACCAAGCCTCCTTTTTTGTTGCACCCTCCCATCCCAGGAAGCAGCCTGTAGCAGCTGTCTAACTCCTCCCAGGTACCTATTCACTGCTAGGTAACAGGGGCATCAGGGTGAACGAAATTCTGCCCACTTGTTTCCGCCTCCACCGGGTATCGAACCTGGAACCTCAGGACTACAAATCCGAGGCGCTGTCCACTCAGCTGTCAGGTCCCTTTACAAATTGACTCGCTTTTAACCCTTTGACAATGGTTATCATCAACTGTTGATTCACAGGGTAATGAGGTAATCATATGAAGATTCATAAAATTATTGTTTGGGTTTTACATGTATTATGCAAATATGGATATAAAAGCTGGATGTAAATAAAGAAAAACAAATGATTGTTTAATCATTGAAACATCAGAGAATAAATCAGGAAGTGTCAGCCAAGTTGAGCACCAGGCATTAACAAGTGCCAGATGCAGACTTGGAGTGCCTCCACTCAGTGAAACTATATATATTCACTTATTATTGTGTTTTTCTTATTCTACATACAAATTAATAATTCTATAATTAATTTTTTTTTTTTTTTTTTTTTGGTGCATAGGTGGGTATAATCATTTTGCTCCATGGCTGTTGTCCGAGGGTTAACTCCATGGATGGTGAAATATTAAAGAAACTTTTCATGACTCGAGACCAAAATTGGAATATGCAGTAGTTGTGTGGTGCCCATATGTCAAGAAGCACATCAATAAACTGGAAAAGGTGCAAAGGCCTGCTACAAAATGGCTTCCGGAACTGAAAACAAGAGTTCGCAAAAAGGCTAAAGGAGCTATGTGTGCCAAAGCTAGAAAATATACGAAAAAGAGGTGATAGTATCCAGGACTACTAAATAAATATGAAACTCGCTAAACACTGTGTATCTAATCAACCCAACAACGTAACATAATCATCAGGACAACCTTAATTACTAGGCACTGTATGTTCCCTGCTATGTCTGGTTATTTAGTGTAGCTATGAAGATCAAATATATTGCCAGAGCAAGTTGTGTAATCTACGGGGAAACAGCCTTGTACCTGTGTGCCTTTGAGTCAATCATGGGGGAATCTTGAACTAGATACAACGAACAGTCCATTAAATTGAGGGGTTTAGGTTCTACCATTCATAAGCAATCTAGAAAAGTGATTTCAGTGGCTGAGGGTTTGGCATCAGTGTGTGTGTGTGTTTATGTATATATATGTATATATATATGTATGTATATATGTATATATATATATGTATGTATATATATATATATATGTATATATGTATGTATATATGGTATATATATATATATATATAATATATATATATATATATATATATATATATATATATATATATATATATATATATATATATATATATATATATATATATATATATAAATATAAATAATATGACAGTTTAAATTATTTTAATAGCAAGGGACAGTGACATGCAAAGTATAATGGATTACAGCCTCAAGGTATTCATAATTATAAGTCGCATATACAAAGTGAATTATCATGACTTGTAAATTTTCACTTTAAAGTTAATCGATCAGACAAATGTTCATAAAGAACACAGCTTGTTCATGCAGAACATCCTATAAACTTGACACTGGATTAGCACATTAGCACTTCTCAGTGCTGTCTTGGCTGTTACTACCACCATTTTGGGGACAGGAGTCGTAATCAGGAACATGTACATGCATAAAGCATAAATATGTATCTATAAAAGAATGTCCTATCCATTTGTCCAAGGTTGGAGGTCAGATGTTGCTTAGGGCTAGCCTCATCCAACTTTTCAGGATGCCACATAGGGGGTATGGGACTGTTGTAAGCCATTGGTGGACTCCCCCCCCCCCCCTTTCCTCTAAACCCTCAAAGGGTCGGCTTCTATTCCAACCACTCGAGCTGGACGGATTACAGTGACAGTCGAGTGACAGATTTCAGTAGGGTGGCGGTCTCACTTCGTTTAGGTCGGCATTCAATCCCAACTGTCAAAGTGATTTGTCACCATTCCTTTCCCCCCGTCCAATCCCGAGTCCCTATCATAATCCCTTCTAAGTGCTAGACAGCATAGTCAAAATGACTTTGTGCTTTTCCCTGATAATTACCTTATTTTCTATTCCGAATCCCAGCTCCTCCTAAGTGGAAATGTTTTTTTTTCTACATTTGAATTTTTTTAGGGCTGTTCATAGTATAATATCCGATGTACACAAAACCAGTTCTTTTAACTACAGTATATATTGTTAACATTGCATCAACTTAACAATTGTAAAAGTAACATTGTAGTTATGCACAAAGAAATCACATTAATGTTATGTATCAATGAGAAAATCAGTAGGAACTGTGAGGAGGATTCGAACCTATGCTCTGGGCACTCCCAAGCAAATGCATTGGACAATTATACCACGACATAGTGAAGAGAAATATTTGAAAAGAAGCATTGGGGTAGAATTCCTAGACTATAAAGCCAGAAAGCATGAGGGCATTGTGTGCTTTTTCTTAATGACAGCAGAAAGCATGTCTACTGGTTTGGCATGGTGAGTGACTTCACAATGTGTTAATATTATGATTGTGACATTGTCTTGACCTAATACACAACTTTGGTCTCTTGACCGGGAGACAAGAAATGTGCACCTTGACAGTTGGCTCGTGTTGTTCCTTCAAGCGGCACGAAGCTGCCCCTCTAGAATAAACAGTTTTCCCTTAGTGCCTTAAAGTGCGAAACTACTGTATCTATGGGCCTTTTTCTCCAGTAGGCAAGCTTAGCTGAATACTTGAACCTCCCATGGCATCTTTTTTGAAGTGGAGGTCGTGTGTATTCGCCTAATTGTGCTTGTGGGGGTTTAGCTCTGCTCTTTCGGTCCGCCTCTCAACTGTCAATCAACTGTTATTAACTAATTAATTTTTTCCCATACACACCCTTAGGAAGCAGTCCATAACCACTGTCTAACTCCCAGGGGAATTAGACAGCATATCTATTTACTGCTTAGGTATATTTTGAGTTATCTTGAGATGATTTCGGGGCTTAGTGTCCCCGCGGCCCGGTCCTTGACCAGGCCTCCACCCCCAGGAAGCAACCTGTGACAGCTGACTAACTTCCAGGTACCTATTTACTGCTAGGTAACAGAGGCATCAGGGTGAAAGAAACTCTGCCCAATGTTTCTCGCCGGCGCCCGGGATCGAACCTGGGACCACAGGATCACGTGTCCAGTGTTCTGTACGCTCAGGTACCTCCCACAGGAGGAACACAGGGGCATCAGGGTGAAAGAAACTTTTCCCATTTTTGTTTCTCGCTGGCACCTGGAATGTGTGGATGTTTGGGCGGGTATGTAGATGGGCGAGTGATTTAGACGGGATTTTGCAGCAACATATGCAAATTCTGGTACAGTACTGTATTAACCTTGATAACTATTCTGAAAAAAAGTCGACAGTTTACACTTAGCCTAAGACCAGTGATGACTGTACAGCATGGGTTAGGCACATGATGACAACAACTGCACATGGATATGTTTGTAGGAGGGACTTGACATTGCATTAGACCTAGGTTAGGTTTTGTAATCAAATCACCTCTGATATACAGTACAGTGGAACCTCGAGTAACAAGCGGTTCCAATTACAAGCTTTTCGGGTAACGATAAAGCCGCTCGCAGAAAATATGTCTCGACTGACGAGCTTTCGCTCGATTAACGAGCGTTCATTAACGAGCGTTCCCCGCTGGTTCTCGGACACCTCCGACGACAGTTTTGTTGTTGTTTTGCGAGACGAGTTTTCCACATGACGAGCTTGGTGCAGGAACGAATTAAACTCGTTAATCGATGCGTCACTGTACAATGTGTCTTAGAACTTAGTAGGCACATTTGTATAACTAAAAATGTGCTGCCCCCTTACTCTAATAGCTAGAAATAGGTCAGTTAAATATACTATACATGCGTAAGGTCAAATAAAAAGAAAAGTTTCCAGTGCCTTATTGACATTATTTAGTGTTGACCCCATTTTGTTTTGTTTTTTGCTAGACAGACAAATGTTTGTATACTGTGTGTAATTTGTTATAGTCTATACTCATTTTCAGTGGCATAAACTTATTACACTGCGGTACTCCCTACTGCGGTACTCCCTACAGTACCATTTAGTTATTGTATTACATGTGTGCTGGCTTGGGGATTACCTCTCGTGGGTAACTATCTTACCTTTGTGATGATTTCGGGGCTCAACATACCTGAGGTCCAGTCCCCGATCCGGCCTCCAATGATCAAAATGCTTTTAGTTATTGATATGTACCCTTTGCAGTACCTGTATTCAGTCCAAATTTCCTTACACATTTACAGAATACAGGGCATTACGATCAAAGCTGGTAAATGTGCACCCTAGATACGGGACAACATTTGTGGTGTAAAGGAAGTACTTGTTTTCTAGGGGTAAGATGGTCATTCAACTCTGCATGATAGGATACAGTACAGTACTATTCTGTGATGATTAGGGGTTTTATAACAAGTCTAGTCCCATTTAATATGAGCCATTAATTAGTTCATATTTTGATACCTTTTTTAACTTTCACTACAGTAATTAATTTTCTGCATTGGTTTCTCACCACATACATCAATATTTTGTCTTTTACAGCTCCGCGGATAAAGCAGGAGCGGCTGGATGAACGGGAGATCAACCAACTGGCTATGGAAATGGCAGAAAAGAACAAGCAGAAGATGATCTCCCAGGCAGCACAGATTGCTCAGCAAACACAAGCTTCACAACAGGTGTGTACAGCTCTTTAATTACACTAGATTGGTAGATTAAAATGTAAATCTTCCTACTATCATATGTCTAGGGTAATTATACTGGCAAAGATCTGTAAAAAGAACAAAAGGCAGTTTTTCATAATGAGAAGTCAATATTTATACATTTCTTTAAACGTGGAAGAGGCTTTAAGTATTCATTGGGTGTACATGTGTGGATGTTTACCCTGTTCTCTGACCTGCTACATTTCTTGGATTTACAGCCCATCTCTGTTTAGGTAGTACTTATAGTTACGATGAGGATTATCATACATATATTGATGTAAAAGGCAATTAGAAGTAGAAATTAGGACTTGAATTGGGACAAACCAGAATAGTTTTTGTACTGTTGTTGCAAAGAAAAGTTAAGATAACTTTCCTAGGCCTTATATAATACATATATGTGAACGCCATCTTGTGTGTGTACAATGGTGCACATAGTTGCAAAAAGTACTATCTAAACAGGAAGATGGGTTTGGGATTTATTTAACCAGCTCCCATCTCTCACACTTCAGTATGATTAATTTCATGGTACAGTATACAGTACATATTTGGGAACAGACTTTTTTGTGGTTGACTTATGCACTGTTGGGTATCCCATCTAGTATTTCGTGTAATTAGCTAAGTGTGAGGATGCTCTCACAATATGAGAGCTACACTCGTGTCCCGTCTTCCCAGTACTGTCGTGTAATGCTTTGAAACTACTGACGTTCTTTTGTTCCAACCATCTACCACTCTTGTTTGCAAAAGAAAACTTTCTAGTACTTTTTTTGGCACCTTTGTTTCTTTGGCTTGAATCTGTCCTCTTGTTCGTGAAGTTGCTGGTTTCAGGAATCCCTCTTTCAATTTGGTTGATTCCTGTTAGTATTTTGTAAGTGGCAATCATATTACCTCTTTTTCTTCTATCTTTTAGTTTGGCATGTTTAACACCTCTAGTCTGTGTGAAGTACCAGTGCTGTGAACAATTCCTTCATTTATGTGGTATCCTTGGTTCTGACTATCACCATTATCTACCCTATCATTTTCCTGGCTGATGCTATTTTATTGTTCAATCTAAATATTAGGTCTTCTGACATTATTATTTCTAAATGTTTAACTTAGTCTCTTACTTTCTGTATGATCTGAATGTCTTGCAACTGTACTCCTTTTTTGTTGATACAGTATATGATTATAATTTTTGCATAATTTTCATCATGACAGTATTCATGTTGATTTATTTTGTTATGAAATGATGATGGTAAGCTACGGTATGTGTTGTATTCCTCTATATCTGCTGTGAGGAGGAGGAAGCGTAACAATACGAGGACAGTGCCTGTTGGAACCGAGATTCACTCCTTACTTGGGCAGGATTTTGTTTCATTTACTGTTATTCTTTGCAATGTTAGGAAAATTGTATACTGTTATTATCTTATTAATATTCATGATTAGAAAAAAATAAGATGTGAACTGAAAAGAGGAGACAATGGTCTCTAAAATTACACCAGATTGGATGCAACACAACATTCCCATGCAGATATTTACCACAAAATGGCAATGTCTGGTATTGCATCACTTGTTAAATGTTTGGACACCCTATTTCCTACTTGGTGGTTTAAACATGTATAATGTTTATAAAATTTAGTTAAAATAAAGGATGTCAACAGTAATTTAGTAAATGATTGTCAAAGCTCAAGTATTATTTATCTACACTATAATCCTGTGCATCAGGTTACTGTATGTCTAGTCGTGTCTTTTGGTCAACATGTCCCAATTCTAGATCATCATACACAAGATGAGAATTACATGCGAATATAATAAGTAGGAGTCACTTCAGTGAGCCTCTTCCCCCATGTATATATGGAGCCTATTCTCAAGGCTAGTTACACCATTTGCCTTTATGATGTGGGCTGGTAACCTGTTCCGCATGTTTACGACCTTGTTGACAAAACCTTACTTCTCCATATTTTTTTGAAATGTTAACATCTTTAGCTTATAGCTATATTTATGGGTTCGGACATGTTCTGATGATTTCAAGACCTTGCCCATGCTTGCTGTTTCATATGAGAGGTCCCAAATATCCGTACCAGGATCTGTCTGGTCATCGTTGTTTGTTTTTCTTGTGGGAATTGATGTCCACTCATAAGAAGGTGATCAGAAATGGATGGCATAATCCAAGTAGAGCCTAATATAATTAGGCTCTACTACTCTATGAGTCGAATATAATTAGAGAATAATAGTTATACATTTATTTCTGGCATTTCTGGTTATTAACCCAAGCATCATATTTACTTTGATATTTATGTTGATAAATTGTTGCCCAAATCTCTGGTATCTGCCAATCATGACCCCCTCTAGTCTCTTACAATTTGATTTGCTCATACAGTATCTGCATCATTCATCTGATAGACTGTGCCATTGTCATTTTTCCAAGTTTCGAACTTTGCCCTCATCGAAGTTGAGCTGCTGCTACTTTTCTTGAAAGGTTTACCATATGAATAAGCCTTTCTGGAGGTCTTCAAAGCTCTCATTCTAGTTTACTATTTTTCCAACTTTGCATCTCCAACAAATTTGCTGATATTACTGCTTATCCCAATATCGGCATTGTTGATGTATTTTATGAATAGCAAATATCTGAAGATGCTTAGATCACACAACTAGGTGAAACTTTTCACTCTTGACTTTACCTCAATGGTACTAATTCTGCTTCCTATTCTTCATTCATATCTGATGCAATTGAGAACAGTTTCTTCATTGCCATGTGCCACAACCTTCCTGATCAGCCTCATTAGCTACACTGTCAAAGGCTTTACTTAGGTTCAGGTAGACGTAATCATAATTGTTATTGTTGTCGACTGTATCGGATACACTTGTGTAGGAGAATGGAAGATTTGTGAGAAGATCACACAAGCTGGTACTGTACAGTACTTTGATGATAATTTTAACACTTGTTTAAAAATTAAAGTTTTAACAGTGAAAGTAACAGTTATAAGTAGTATCCTAGATAGATTTGTCAGTGAAGTTCTTACAAATAATGAAACTGGACATCTCGCTTGGCCATGTAACTGGCCAAAAATATTCAAAATATATGTAGGACTTTACAAAACTTGATAAAATCTTCATTCAAGAAAAATCCAGACCACACTGAACCACTCTGTGCTCCCCACCAAATACTCAACTCCACTAGCTTTGTAATGCTTTTAATTTCTCGTGTCTACAAGTGTTTATTAATATTCAGGGATGGGGGGACGATAATGGTACGTACATTAAACATAATGTACATACCATTATTGTGTAGTAAAGGGTCAACTCCATCTAGAATTCAAGTTGAACCTCGCTTCCATTTGTCTCTCTCACTCAATTTAAGTAGTTAATCTACTTCAGGGGTTGTCAGATAGGATCTGTGGAATCCAAGACACTTGTATCAATGTGCATATGAAGAGTTTTCAACTTCTATATTTTTATGAAATTATAACATGACCCATTCCTCTGTATAAAATAAACTATCACTATAAACTTGTTAAATCAATACAGCATTGTATTAGGTTATAATATTACTCATTGTAACCCTCACTAAATTTAATATTATTGAGTGAAGAACACAAAGATATTCTACCCTTAAATTATTTTGTAAATTAACATTGTTTTAATATATATTATATAATTGTAGCTAAGGATATAATAGTCATATCACATCTTAATGTCATCTCTTTATCTGCCTCGGATATTAGTTGGCATACTTTGTTCAAACTTTATAAGAACCATATGTATCCTCCTATTGAAATGGTTTTTTAGTAATGCCATCTGGGTGTCTGCTGGAAAATAAAGTTTGGCAGGCATGGTTAAGTGTCATTTAGCTCCTATGTACATATTTAAAAATTTACTGAACTGTTTCTAATACAAATAGCAATCTGAATGTTAAGAGTCGAGAGATATGCAGGCCGTGGATGTGCAGATGCACATGCGGAGGACATAGGATCACACAGGTGGGGGATGTGCATATGCACGTGTGGACATGGGATCGCACAGGGGGGGGGGACATGCAGACATACACGCGGAGGACATGGGATTTCACAGGCGGGGGGCGTGCAGACGCACATGCAGAGGACATGGTATTGCACAGGTGTGGGACGTGCAGATGGATAGGTGGAGGACATGGGATCATACAGGCTGGGGACTTACATGCACAGATTTGGCAACCAGATTTTAATGATCAGATTAGGACCTGTAAAAGATTGAGGCATTATACTTAGGGAAGGCATAGAGTATGAGCTCTACCTGAACATGTAACTGAGGTGTGCTGACCTTGATACGAGTTCTGTATAGAAGAAACTGCTGAGGGACCATGCAGGCCAACTCCTATTTATACCAGCTGCACTCTTCCATAGAAATGTCTGGACTTGCTGTTTTAGTGAATGGGTGTGAGAGCTTAACCTAGGTGGTGGTGTGGGGGTGTGTTTGTAATTTACTTCAATTTTTAACTGTTGTAAACTACTCTCTTCATCTAATATATTCCTTCTCTGTTTGCAAAAGAGAATTTGTGATCTCTTGCAATTGCCGTACTCATAGGTTTGCTTGCACAAACTCCTTTTTATCAGTAACAAGATGCAAGATAAATCACATTTATACATAAAAGATACTTGTCAGGTCCCTAATCTACACAATAAATTAACAGCTTATTGAAGTCAAAGATAAGGAAGGAAGTGTAGAGTAGACCCAGTGAAGAGTAGAGGTGCTGTCAACCTCTACTTCTATCAGCCTCTAGTAGAGGTGCTAGATGACTTGTATCAACCTCCTATTGGCAAATATAAGAAATATTGAGCAAACAAATGTGGAAGTTTTCCTGTGGAAATTAGACATATTTCCTGCAGAAAGTGTCAGACGAGTTGTCATGGCAATGTAGGCCATATATGTAGGCCATTGGCAGCAACAGCTTTACTGATATAGTCTGCAGAAAAGCCAGGCTACAGAAACGGCTGAATTTTTTAAACTGGTTAGAGGTAATCCCCAACATTTAGAATTAGTGACAGCTTTTAGCACTCTACTATTCACGTTTATTTAACACACCTGTTCTCTTGCTATTCACCCACCATAACTTTACTATATACATCAATACAATTTTCAAGTAATCTTCATACAATACTGTCACTGTATCACTTTGCTAAACAAATGATATTTGTTTAGTTCAAATTTGACATGGTCATGTCAGGCCTTATTCACTCGGTTTACATTGTTTCTAATATTCTTCCCTAGACCTGCCTCATGTTGCCAACCTTGAATATACCTGTATTGAACAACCATGATTCCATAGCAGAAATGTTATATACATAAAATAATAATAACAGTCTAAAATAATAATAATAGTCAATTGGTACACAATCACATGATTATTTGAACTTTGCAACATTTAACAGAACTGCAATCTTAATTACATGTCGGTAACTTTTTAAAGTACTTCTCTTTTAACCTTGTGATGTTCATTTCCCAATCCCATAAAGGCAATGCACACCTTCAAATATTTCCTCATTAGCCTTCCCTATGAATTATCTCAATGCAAATATCTGATCTACACACACATTTTTTCACTACATAACCCTCGTTTATCACTGACCAGTTTGCAGTTATTGTTGAGCTCTTGAAACCACTCTCCTACTGTATTGTGTCCACTGCACTTTGTAAACAAATGTCTAATTCTTCCCTTTTGTCACACATTTACAGTTTTTTTTTTTTTTATGTCTAATTCTTCCCTTTTGTCACACATTTACAGTTGTTTTTTTTTAAGAGTCCACTGGTCACACCTCATTTCTCCACACTCCCTACGTTCCATTTGAACTATTGTGATACATTGAATCATTTCTATGTAGGCCTCAACACCTGTAGCTTCATGTGCCTCATCACCAACTGCAGCCCCACGTACCTCATTACCACCTGCAGCCCCACGCACCTCATTACCACCTGCAGCCCCACGCACCTCATTACCACCTGCAGCCCCACGCACCTCATCACTGCCTGCAGCCCCACGCACCTCATCACTGCCTGCAGCCGCCACATTCACCCCTTCTACTCCTGCAGCCCCATGCACCCCTTCTACTCCTGCAGCCCCATGCACCCCATCACCAGCTACAACCCCACATACCACATCACCAGCTACAACCCCCACGCACCCCATCACCACCTGCAGCCCAACGCACCCCATCACCACCTGCAGCCCCACGCACCCCATCACCACCTGCAGCCCCACGCACCTCATCACCACCTGCAGCCCCACGCACCCCATCACCACCTGCAGCCCCACGCACCTCATCACCACCTGCAGCCCCACGCACCCCATCACCACCTGCAGCCCCACGCACCCCATCACCACCTGCAGCCCCACGCACCCCATCACCACCTGCAGCCCCACGCACCCCATCACCACCTGCAGCCCCACGCACCCCATCACCACCTGCAGCCCCACGCTTTCATGCCCCTTATGTGTAGTGAAAGCGTGTTGAATAGTCTCGGGCCTCTGATGATAAAGTTCTCTGAGTATCTGTTGCACCTCTGCTTTTCAATGGGGGGGATGGGGTTCTGCACACTTGCATATAGTATGTATTTTTTCATTAATTCAGAGATTTTAATTTGTGCCCTTTGGAATTTGGACCCTTATATATTCTAAGCTACGGATTAGATTTTTTGGTAACACTCAAACATGTGCCTAATATGTTGACAGCAATCATACACTGTCATTTTTTGCACCAGTTGTTGGCTAGCGTTCTCTACCAGATGTGTAGACGTTTCCCTGCCAGCAGACCCAATTCATGTTGCTTTTGTTATCAGCCTTAACACTTCCCCAAGTATAATAAAAAAAATATTGGTTTTCCTTTCAGAACCATTTCCACGCATAGCCAATCACTTGTCTCATCATTCACCATCTGTCTTACATTACAAAGAATACTAAAACATTTATAATGTCAATTTGAGCATTTGTATTTAACATTACCAGTTTCCCTTTGGTTACATTGTATTAACATGTTATTCAGGTACATGCTCACATCTTCTCACATGTAAACATTGTTTCTAACACAAGTTGTCAACCTTCTAACAAATAATTTGACACCTTACAGGCCCTGCAGCGAGCTGGTGGACAACAAATGATCACATTTTATTTCAATCGTGAGAAAAATAAGGAGCTGGGAAGTGAAGACTCTATTATTCCCAAGAAGTTGGATGAAAAGAAGAAAGGGACCATTGATGAGGAGAGTGTGCGAGGACGTTTTGGTTGGTCCACCATTCATAATGCTCATATTCCGTATGTATTCAGACGGGAGGACAAGTATTGTGCTGTAAGAATGGTGGAAACAAAGTTGCTTAACAAATACCTGAGCTACCTCCCACACGAGATAACCACGTGCATTCATGTGAGAAGTTACTTTATTACGGAAGCAGAGGCAAAATTACTAAACGAGATAAATATGAAACATTGCGAGTTTCAATTTGGGCGAGACCTTTTCACAACCAAAGATTTAGTAGTGAGATTACAGGATGCACGGTGCTTTTACAAGTTCCTAGATACATGCTTTAAGAAATTGGTGCAAAAATCTCCTGAACAAAGTGAATATTGTGGTTTCGTAAGAATAAATGGTGAGAGTGTTGTGCCGTATACAGTGAAAAATAGTGAAAAGTATGTACCTTTATTTTATTTTGAGGGTGAAACAGACACACTTAAGCTAAAAGCAGAAAAAGTTGATAATTGGGAACTTGCGTACCTCAAATTTTGTTGTAAAGTTCAAGGAATAAGAAACGAATTATTTGCCAGTGATACTTGTGCAGTGGTTAGTTTAGAGGATGTGCAACAGTATTTCCCAAAGGATACTCAATTTGAGGATTGGTGGCCTCAGAAAACGGCAGAACCAATGAAAGTTGCGAGCCACGGCACAAAACCAGGTGGCATCTGGACACAAAGACCTCCTGGGGGATCACCTAGTGGGGTAACACAGACCTCATTGGCATCATCATCTACTACTCTTACACCAATTGCCAGTAAGCCTCCATCAGTAACTGCCACTACTGCCTCTAGCCACACATCATCAGCATCATCAGTGGCTGTGTCAGTAGCAGGCACCTCTGGCTCTCTGGCATCATTGACCAACTCCCTCAATAGCATTAACTCTCTCAACTCCTTGTACTCTCAGTGGGCTACTTTGGTCAATGGTCAAGCAGCCGCTGCTGCTGCATCTGCTGCTGCTGCATCTGCATACTCTAGTAGTCCAAATATGCAGGCACTACTTTCTGGTCTTACTAGTGAACAGATGAGAAGGTTACAGCCACAAGTCTCATTACCTGCATCAACACCCTTAATTCCAACCATAACAGTAAGTTGAGTGTTTTGTTTATTACTTAATGAATGTATGACCATGCACACACAGTAGTGTGTGTGTGTGCACGTGTTGCCACACTCTTGCCATCAACATAATGCTGTACACCACATACCAGGCTACAGATAACAACCCAGTTCTTTTCAAGCATATTAGAGCAAATACCTGGTGCTTGTGCCATGGGATTTTTCAATAAATGTGTTGGGTTGTAAATTTATATATTTTGGCAGGTGTAAACTAAAAAAGTTGTGCATTCCAGGTGACAGTTGAATTAAATCACAGAAATTAAAAATTTGTCTTTCAGCCAATAGTGAACCCTTGTTGCATCCTTTTAGTTATATATATATATATATATATATATATATATATATATATATATGTATGTATGTATGTATGTATGTATGTATGTATGTATGTATGTATGTATGTATGTATGTATGTATGTATGTATGTATGTATGTATATATATATATATATATATATATATATATATATATATATATATATATATATATATATATATATATATATATATATATATATATATATATATATATATATATATATTATCTCTGATTTACTCTTGCTATGATTATGTAAGCTATTTTTACTAGATCTGCAAATGTTTTAATGTATTTTGCTAAAAACATCGTACCATATAATGTGACGAACTGTGATAGTGCATCGTGTAATAATAGTGGTCACTTGATGGCTTAGGAGCTGAAGATGTTTTGAAAGGTAGCAAATGTTGACAGTTATGCTGGGATGGCTTCCCCTTCCCTTACTGGGTTTTTGCTGGTTAAATGATCGTGAGTTATGATCATTTAGCCTAATCGGATATGTAATAAAATTGAATGAATGATTACCATGTTAACCATGCATATGAATATAAAATATTAAAAATAGTTAATTTATATAAGAGGGGGTTTAATGCTGTATGGATGTGTACATTCTTTGCATCGCCTATAAATACCAGAAGGCTTTATAGATTCATAGGTTGTATTCATTGTACAATGATAAGAGAGTTATGGTGGCAGCAACGTCATTCCTTGTTGTCCTAGTGGAAATTAAGTATGCCATTCAATGTCACAGAAGAAATGAGAAAAAAGATATTAGAGAAACTCTGCTTAAAAAAAGTTAGAGAATTAGAAGCTTCTTCAATGGATTTGATTGGGAACGGTTGGCAATAGGGGAAGATGTAAACAAGATAGATCTGGTCAATTTTTCCAAAGTTTATAATGAAGGAACCCAGAGATTCGTCCAAAAATATACAGAACTGGTATCCGCCTTCACAGCCTACCGAGTGTGCACACAAGCCTTGTGGCTCCAAGTCTTTGGTAAACAAGACTTGTTCAACAGAAACTGCCAAAGGGCTAGAGAACAAGAATTAATACCATTATGGAAGATATATTACTGACAAACATGAAAACACAAAATATACAAACCTTTGAGAAAGGGATAGCAGACAAATCAAAGTGGAACCCAGCCTATCCCATAAATTCATTAGAGGTAAACTGGATGTAAAAGGTAACAGGCAGAGATTAACCCTTGGACAGCAGCTATGGAGAAATGGTCATACTTATGCACACAAAATTTTAAAAGTTCAACAATTAATTTTTCATTATAGAATTATTAATTTTTATGCAGAATGTAAGAAAAGCATGAAAATAAATGAATATACTAGTACTGCATTTGGCGGCATAAAAGGCACACTCTCGCATTGGATGCATCCCTATTTTATAAGGATATTTTGTGAAAAAAACCCAGCGTTGAATGTAATGAAATGCCATTTTCAGAGTGAACCCGAGAGGCTCCCTGGCACCCTCCCTCCCTCCAGTTAGCAGTTTTGCATCGTTTTGATGCTTAGCCTCCGAACTGAAGTTGCTGGGTAGCTGGCGCTTGTGTCCGGGGCTCCCCCCTCCCAGGGAGGGGAGGGGAGGGGAGGGCTGTACGGATGAAAGGCAAGGTGTGATGTTTGCTTGGGATTTGAGGGAGTTCTGCCTCTGTTCAGTTATCAGTTGCAACTTTTTTACCATGTGGAGTCTGTTTTGTTATGCCTACCTTTCTGGGTGCCTAACCCCGGTCGATAGCAGATAAGGAAATCCCCCAACCACGGGAGTTTTCCAGGGGCCATTGCTCCCTTTGCCTCTGAGGGCACCTGACAGCTGGGTGGACAGCGCTTCAGATTCGTAGTCCTGAGGTTCCGGGTTCGATCCCCGGTGGAGGCAGAGACAAGTGGGCAAAATGTTTTTCACCCTAATGTCCCTGTTACCTAGCAGTAAATAGGTACCTAGGAGTTAGACAGCTGCTACGGGCTGCTTCCTGGGGGGGGGGGGTAACAAAAAGGAGGACTGGTCGAGGACCGGGCCGGGGGGATGCTAGACCCCAAGGGACGCTAAGCCCCGGAAACATTTCAAGGTAACTTCAAGGTAACCTCAAGAAGATAACCTCTCTGAGGGATGGGCCCAGGTTCTGGCTCATGGTCCCCAGTAGGTTGAATTGTATTAACCTGCCTGATACCTGCTTGATGGGAGTATGGGAGTTGTTCCACTTCCCAAATGCTATAAGTAATGCTCTATTGACTAATGCCCTGGTCTAATGTTTCACATAATAGCCAGATAGCTTGAGAGATCCAAAGGGGCTCCCCCACAGAAAAATTGTCTTAGCATGTTTCATCATACATGTATTGAAAGATATTTTAAAGTGGATTTTGTACCCCAACTCTCACCACCAATAAGATCAGCTGTGTAGTTGTTTATATTTTGGGCAAGGGAATTGCTATACAGGATGTGAAACTTGTATTTCTGGATGTGATGGTTTGTTGCCTTGACAGGCCACCAGGGCGGCACACCCGGTGATGGTGCACCATTTTCCCTCTACACATTTCACTGCTCCTGTTGTGCAGAATGTAGTCAGAATTAGTCACAGTTGCAACCAGTTAGAGGCAGCCATGAACTAACAGTCAAGCATTCAGGCACAAGTCGGTCAGGCAGGCATTCGCAATCAAAAGTCAGTCATGACTAGTCAAAGGCAGTTAGGCATTCACAGTTGTGGTAGCAATCAGTCACAGTTTGTAAACAACATTGAGTCTACAGAATACCAAGGCCACCATATGGTAGGAAGGCAGATGAGAATCTGAACCATATTAATCCCTTACCAATCGTCTAGACTGTCTAGACGCAGCTGGAGGGGTGAGGGATATTTATGGTAGGGATGGTGGGGGGGGAGGTAGTGGGGATGGAGGAGCCGACTCCCCAAGTCTGGCCTCGGGCCGGGCTTGGGGAGTAGAACTCCCAGAACCCCATGAACCAGGGAGCTGAGGGGTGGATCAGGCGTGACCACAGCCAGTCTGCCTGCGACCCTGTCAGTCTGCCTGCGACCCTGCCAGTCAAACCCAGCCTGTCCCCCCCCCCCCCCCCCCCCGGAATTACCTGCCTCAAAAGCCCAAAAGCTTGTTAAACGAGGAATGTGGTGACGAAGTACAGATGACCCGATGCCACGTTGTAGTATAGATGTGTATTATGAGATGTGTAATGATAGTTTAATCAATTCCTGTTGACAGACAATTTATATAAATACTTTGTCATTATTTAGCTGTAGGACACATGACTCTCCACTTTGTTTACATCCGTCCACCTGCATCCTCCATGTTAATTTAGTTCATTCCAAGCTCATCATTATTATTATCTGACTGACTTCAGATTTTGTCTGCACTGGTTTGTAGCCATTGGCATTTCTCACTGGTTGTCCCTCAATAATTTGTCTATCTAGTGTGGGAGTGGGATGAAAATTTTAAAGAGTGGTGGTGACTGACACATCCTCCATGACCCACATAGTACAGGCCATAGTCATTCTAGATGGGGAGGGTTGAAGGAGTTGGTGAGGAAAGGAGGATGTGGCAGAAGGGGCTTACACACTCAACAAATTGCAAATAGCTATAGCAATATGTGCATTTATTTGTTTATTCATTTAAATATTTAGAAGAAAGTGCATCAGTTTTGGCAGCCATTTTATGCTTATGATAAATCTAATAGCTGATATAGGCACTTGTATGACTGGGGTTGGGGTGTTGTGATCAAATAAGATGTTGACATATCTTAGTCTGTTTATCGAGCCAGGCAACCTGACTTAACTTTAGCTCGTCTGACCATGTAGTCTGCCTTTATGTAGCTTGGTTCTAGTGGAGGAAAAGGAAGAGTGGTTTACCTGGATTGTACCTGGATGAGGTTCTGGGAGTTATTCTGCTCCCAAAGTTCGGCCAGGGACCAGACTTGATTTGAGAGCTTGGACCGATAGGCTATTGCTTCGAGGCCCACATATCTACTACAGCCCGGTTGGTCTGGTACTTCTTGCAGAAAACTGTCCAGTTTTTTCTTAAAGACTTCCACTTTTGTTCTTGCAATATTTCTTGTACAGTAATTGCCTGAGGATATTGAATAACTGTGGACTTTTGATGTTCATAGTGTTCTTTGATTGTGCCTATGGTACTTTTACCTTTCATTGGCTCTGTTCTGCATTTTTTTCCATAGCATTCACTCCAGTATATTGTTGTTTTACTGTGATTTAGGACCTGACCTTCCAGTATTTTCCATGTATATATTATTTGATACCTCTCTTGTCTCCTTTGTAGAGTGTACATTTTGAGATGATTCCAGTGATTTGTGATTTATCGTGTGATGCATGCTTGATACCTGTTTGATGGGGTTCTGGGAGTTCTTCTACTCCCCAAGCCCGGCCCAAGGCCAGGCTTGACTTGCGAGAGCTTGGTCCACCAGGCTGTTGCTTGGAGCGGCCCGGCTGTGTGTGTGCTGTATATGTTCTGTATTCCCTCTTTCATTAATTTCTCCTACTCTGAAAGGGAAAGTATTAAGCAATACTCAAGGTGGAAGAGCACCAGTGATTTGAATAGTTAGAACATTGCAATGGAATCCCTGGATATGAAGGAACTTTCTTGTAATCCATCCTGTTATTTTTCTAGCCGACTTGGTTTATCTTGA